CTTCCGATGAGAAAGCGGAGGCTGAGGCCTCGGAGGTGGACTCATCCATCACCCAAGCTGAAGTCACTGAGGTAGTTAAGAAGCTTCTCGGTGGCAAGGCACCGGGGGTGGATGAGATCCGCCCTGAGTACCTTAAGTCTCTGGATGTTGTGGGGCTGTCTTGGTTGACACGCCTCTGCAACGTCGCATGGCGGTCGGGGACAGTGCCTCTGGACTGGCAGACCGGGGGGGTGGTCCCTCTTTTTAAGAAGGGGGACCGGAGGGTGTGTTCCAACTATAGGGGGATCACACTCCTCAGCCTCCCCGGGAAAGTCTATGCCAGGGTACTGGAGAGGAGAATTCGAGCTTGAATTTAGCCTTGAAGCTTCTTTAATTGCACCTCAGCCAGTTTCTAAAACCAGAATAAAATGTTTACAGATCACAGCCACAGTACTTGTGTGCATGTGATCACTTTTAAGTAGACCTGTGGTAACATGAGCGAAAAAGCCTTCTACGGGAATTATAGGCTAAAATGCACTGACGTGAGAAACCGAGAACTGTGGTTAGATTAGAATTCACGGTGCTGCCATGGATGGGAGATGACAGAATAGCTTTTGAGCTTCCTGTAAATCAGATGGAAAAGCTACACCCCAAGAGGTCGCAGGGACTTGTAGTCCTTTTCAGTGGTTTGATGAGTTCAAGCAATAGTCATTTAAACTACAATTCCCAGGTGAAGGTTTCTCTTTGATGTAAACAAAACTGAAACCGATTTAACAAACTAGCATTGTTTTTACCAAATATTCAAATGAACATAACAGTGTTACATAATCACAGCAAAAGTAGATTTACGCGTGGTTGATGTTTTGCGACTCTGATGGGACAACGAGTTTAAAAACAAGCCTGTCCCCCATTGTTTTTACCTTGTACCATTGCATCGATTGTGGTAGATGTGGGTTGTGATCGAGAAAAGCCAAATACTCACGTATGTCCGCATTGTGTTGTTACGGGGCTCTCGAAAATTTCGAGACAAACTGGACAGACGAATTCTGACACGTCGCTACTCCTGTCAGAGACGGGTTTTTTGTACTGTGCTGCGCTAAACGCTCCGTGCATCGCCATTTCTTTTCTTCACTGACTCAGGCCCCCACCAACCTTCCACGTAACGACGTCACCGGTTTTGGTTCTTTTTTTAAGCGCAAGGGGCGGGGTTATGGCTCACGGTTCAACCTACAACATATGGGTACATCTCATGTCTCTTATAATGACCATGTCGTTACCCACACTAGCGTCTTTTCTTGTGTCTTACTCCTGCCAGTTCGACCCAACCAGAATGAGCAAAGTTTGGACCCGACCCGAATCGGGTCCCAGTATGTCCGTGAAAACCTATACTCCCGAGTCTTGGAATCTAAGGCCAACCTTTTGCTTATGCTCCTCTATTCACAAGCCCAGACTTTTTCTCATTCTCCAACTCACAAATAGGCTCACCCCTATGCACATGTATACAGACATGAAGCAGGCATATACAGTATATTCTCTGCTCAGCCTGCACTATTTTCTTTACAGTAATAGAAATGAACCATTACCATCACTGTAAATGGTTACTAGGTGTTTTGTTTTTATCCCCTGTTTTTTCAATTATTGTTTTCCCTTAATTCTGTATAAAATAATATTAAGAGTTAAACATTCATATTCCTACACATGAAAGTTCAAAAACATCATCAGGACAATGTAAAGTATCAAAGTAAAAGTACTGGTTCTGTGGGAAAATGCCCTTTTGCTATCATATTATTATTTATTACATAGCATATTGTTAATAGATTCATCAGTATGTAAACAAGAGGCTACTTTTGTTTATAAGAGTGGAGCTAGTTAGGTAGGCTAGTCAAGTCTACTGGTTTCCAACTTGGGAGTCATCTAAAGCTTCAGAAGATCAGTCTGAGGGGTCATGCAATGATTAATGGGAAAGTAAACAAGACTCTGTGGTGATTTTGTAACTTTTCTCTAACCTCTCATTTTCTTCTGAATCATTAGGTCTTTGGTGGAACTACAAATCACTCAAAGACATCTGAAATGTAAAAAGTCTCCAATCAGAACATGTTTTCTTAAAAATGTAATTGGAGCAAATGAAGAATGACAAAACACGCGTGAAATCATGTTTTTGACACCCAGAAAATGTCGTATTCACGCAGCTTAGACATACTAACAGAATACATCAATGCTGTTGGTGGGCTTTGCATCCCTTTCTTCCTCAGCACGTGGGCCCCTGATGCTGGTGGCCTGTCAGAATCGAGCGCATGCGCGTTATCGTGATAGCAATTTCCAACAGCTGAGGAGGCGTTGCTAGTCACGGCTAGCACTTGTTAAAGGTAAGATGTGCCAGTAGTGGTGTTTCTACTTATAAAACAGTGTGACCTCTCAGCTGGATCAGAAGTAGACTTGGTCGTTGAAGACTCATGTCACAGCGACAGTATATATTTAGATAAATGACTCTACCCTCGTCCAATAATTCTGTATAGCAATGGACCGCCCTGTGGCTAAAGTAATTGTTAGCTAGCCAGCTGCGTTGAAATGGGCGTTCACTGCTTGGGTTATATCCAGTTGGGGGCCCACTGCAATGACAAGATCGGGTTTGAAATTTTTGAAGAATTAACGTACAAGTTGTTCTCAGAGCGTATCCCTTATTATCATCATTGGTCGTGGCGGAGGGTATCTGTAGCAGTCGTTGCGCGGTAATAAGGCACGAAGATGTTATTAGCTAGAGTATGCTAGCTCGCTAAACGGATGCCCGCTAAGGTTGATGTGTAAGGTACCGTAACTGGAATAAGGTTAGCCCGATCAGTTTACCAGGGCACAGGAAGCAGAATCTCTCCACTACTGTGTTTCAAGTCTAATTGGTCTTAGCCGTAGGCATATCCATATATCTAATTTGTTTCCCCAATTTTAGCTAACTAAAGCTAGCTGCGTGCTAACATGGTTTATACGCATGTATCAGTAGGTTAGTAGCGATAGCTCACATTCACTGGCGCACACAAGATCGCAAGACAGAACGGGTTTGTCTATCAACTGTAAGTCCCGTTCTTGGTTATATACACTTTTTTTTTTCTGTGTTGAGTACACCATGATGATAATCAGTCCAACCCATTAGCTAGCCTTTTCCTCCCAATGCAGCCTTACATCATCCCACTCAAAGCACAGACACAATTCCCTCTTATCTCAACATTAGATGTTTAATAGCAATTAATGAAGGTCATTACATATTTATTTTCTTCTGGACATAGCTACAATTGATAGAATGAGTACAAATGAATATGGGTCAGGTTTTCTTCTATCTTTATTTGCATCAGAATTCAAGGTTTATAATGCTCTCTTGTATCATTACAGCTTGAAGACTATTCAGAAGAATCACAATTAAGAATGTGTCTTTATGATGAGTGACCTTGAACTCTGCAAATGCTGAAGCCAAGGAGTGGAATAGATACAACTCTGTATTAACACAGCGTGAAGCAAAAGCTCCTCCTGACCTCATTTTGCCAGTTTGGTCGGTCTGTCTGGATAAGTTGCTGTCAAAGTCAGGCTTTGAGCCAATACCAGAGATGCCAGTAAGAAGGCATCCCTACAAGCTGCAGCCTAGCTACACCAACTGAAATCACCAGACAACTGCATCTCTTGTTGAGAGGATGTACTGCTGATTGGACACAAAGTCTTGTTCCATTTCCACCTCTCCAAAACGTTAATGTCGAGTGCGTGCCAGCATGTTCAGTGAGTAATGGTGACCAAAAATGGTGCTTGAATGTGGCATCCTGGTGCAGGGTATGCTAAAAGGGGTGAGGCTCTCTCAGAAAAGTACAACAGCTGACTGCTAGTCTGCTGCCGATAATGGATGCCAAGTTAAAAGAGGACCTGTTTAGGAGATATGTGACAGCATTGGAGAGACGTCTGGAGGAAGAAGGGGAATACAGAGCCATTGGAACCACACCAGAGGGAGACAAAAGCAGATATAAGGACAGTGAGGCCCTACTTTCCACAGCCACAGCTCTGTTAGGGGCCTACCAGCCAGATCCAGGACAGCGTTTTCGCATGGTGCGTTTCTATGAGGTGGTGGAGAACTCGCTCCGCTGCCACAGAGGGTGCAACCTCAAGAGCCTGGAGAGAGCCTTCCACACCCTGGAAACCATCTGCACTAACCTCTTGCTCTTTCCGTGGAAGAAGGAGTTCAGATGTATAAAAGTAAGTTTAAATCCTACACAGGGTTGTCATTTTATTCTTACTTAAAGCTGGGTTTAAAGGTGACCAATCAACCAACATTTTGTTATTAAAACTCTGGTTATAATAACATTAATCATCAGCCTCTGATATTACTCTCCCCAGGAGTGCATATTGATTATATACACTACCAGTCCAAAGTGTGGACACACTTTCCCATTGAATGATGAGCTGTGTTCACACTTTGGACTGGTAGTGTACATGTTCCAATGATTGTGTGAACAGTTTCAAAATGAAAATGTAAACATCTAATGCAGTGATTTGCCAAAGAAAGTAAAGATTTTTATTTACTTTGTTTGCAACTTTTAGATTTGAATAACATAAGTGGTGTGCAAACAAACAGTATCTATATGTGTGTGTCTGGGTAATGTATATATTCATTATTTCACTGTGAATTCTCACTTCAAAGGTCCATGCAGTAAACCAGCTGTTTTGCATTTTCATTTTTACCAACAGTATACATCAGTATCCTTCAGTGTGAGGTGGAAACAAGCTCTAATGCTGCTGAAAGGTTAACATCTGTAATTTTTGTAAACACAGTAGCAAACAAATGACACTTTAAATTATACTGTTTGCTATCAGAGAGAAAGCACGCGAGGTTGATCTTTAGGGTGCACTTTAGCTTTATCATGTCAAGCTGTTTTACTTAACTGACGGTCAACCATTTCTCTTTTAGACCTTCACTGGCCCATATGTGTACCATCTGCAGTCTGCCATGTCTGATGCAGAACTCCAAACTCTGATGCGCACCATCGGATATGCCTGTGACCATGATTCGCAGTTCCATTTGCAGGAGCACCCAGGAGGTGCAAATCATCTCCGCCAGTTGGCGTTCGAGCTCTTCCTGGCCCAGGCAGAGTGTCGTCTTCTGGGAGAGGTAGTGGCTCTGGCCCGTGGTTCAGCCTCAGAGCTGGAGGCTCTGGAGCTCCGCAGAGGTTGCAGAGATGATGCAGCTGGCTGCGCTGAGGCGCTCCGCAGACGTGACAGCCTCGGGGCAGATATGGCTCGACTGTCTGTGCGGCCGCTGGATATAGAGAGGCCTCATGCCCTCCACCTGAGGCGAGGTAGCCGACCATCTAAGTCTGTGGATGTTACAGATGGGGCTGGTCACTGGCATGCAGCGGTTAGCAAACCTGTATTGAAGGCCTCACTGAGTCTGAGGAAGGAGCCTCTTTTTGTGGATGCTGAAGAGGATATGAAGGATGAGATAATCAGGCCCAGCACCTCAGCATCTCTTTTCTCTGTGGCAGCTCCACCTTCCTTTAGCCCTGTTGCGGAATTCTTCCCAATTCAGTCACCTCCCCCAGCTGATGCTTACACATCCTACCACTTGTCCTCCTTGGATGAAATTGACTTGTACACTGAAAGGGGTGGCACTGGAACAGGAGGAAGACAGACCCCTTCTCGACCTCCGTCCAGAGAGCCTCGGGAGGTGAGGGACGGGTGGCTGCTCAAAGCCCATGGCAGTGTGAAGTGTCAGGGTTGTGGGCTGGGCTGCTCCACTATGGCCTCCTGCCAGAGGTGTGACATGATCCTTTGTTCTGCCTGTCATGATGTGGACCCCTCCCCTTGCTGTGGCCTCCAGGACTGCCACCCTAAATCACCACGACCCCTTGATGGATACATCCCTGTCAAGGAAAAGCTGTCCGTCTACTCTAACACTCACACCCACTCCCATCTCCACCCACATCCCCTCACACTGACTCACTCACACTCTCACCCTCACCCGCACCCCCAAATGGTGGAGAAACCCCTCATGTCTACTAAGCTGTTTCCAAGCAAGTCTGTTGCCTTGACAACACCAAAGGGAGGCAGCAGTGAGCGACTAAGCACGGGGGGATCGCGATGTGGGTTTTGCAACAAGCCAGGTGCATCACACACCTGTGTGAATTGCTCTAAGGTGTCATGTGACTC